CTTACGAGCTGATGGCTGGAATAGGTTAGGACTTCCGAGGATGTTGGGATGGGCTGAATGTATTCGGTGCGTGAGACACACATAAGTTTTGGAGGGTGTGATATCATGAAACTCTATTTGGTCCTGACACACAGCTCCTAAAACCCTTGGAATCTCCTGTGTGGTGAGAGTCTTCAGAATGTTAACGAGATGAGTTAACGAGATGAGGGCTCCCAGAAAGATCAGGGCAGGACCAGAGGGCTGGGACTTCCAGCCCATACTTCAGCCCCCCGTGGGATTGAGAGGGCCAGCTATGAAGGGGGCCAGTCCTAAGTACAGGGGACAATGCACCGCTTCTAACCCGCAGTCCCAGGAGATGGTGGTGCGGAGCAACTTGCACGCTCTGGTCAGCAAGGGTACTAGGACTGTCCTGACCATGTCAGACGGGGAAGCACTTGGGTTTCCTCCTTCCCTGGGAGGAGGACTGAGAGTAGTAGAGTGTTACGGGTTGAATTACAGACCCTCAAAAATCCAGGCTGCAGTCCTAACCCTCAGTGTCTAGAATCGTGACTGAAGTCCCTCGGGACATCAGGGGAATGGGTCTGGGGCACCCGCGTGCACCGGAATCTGCAGACGCTCAGGTCACTTAGGTAAAATGGTATAGTATTTGCATCTCGCCCACACACTTCCTCTCGTAACCTTAAATCATCTCTAGACAACACCTAACAGAATGCGAACGCCGTGTAGAGTGGCTGTGCTGTCTTGCTTAGGAAAGTCTGTACACTATACATGTGCAGTGCTGCAGTTCCCCCTGGATATGGCTGGTTGAACCCGTGGGTGGGGAGCTACGGCTATGAAGCCCACGTATAGAGAGGCCAGCTGCACCACAGGCTGCGTTCTGTGCCTCAGTGGAATGGTATTTGGAGGGAGAGGCTCTGGGAGCCAGGAAGGTGGAAATAAGGTCATGAGCGTGAGATTCCCATGATGGTATGAGGGCCCTCGTAAAGAGAAACCAGACAGCATGTGTGACCACATCTGCTCGCTCTGCCAAGCGAGGACACAGCAGGACTCTGGCCCGAGACAGCACGCAGCAGCACCCCAACGGCACCCCGGTTTCAGTCTTCTATCCTCTGGAGCTGTGATGAAATAATTTCAAGCCAGCCAGCACAGACCGTTGGTTATGGCTGCCCAGGCTCCTATGGAGATCCACCTGACAGCTGTGTCTCTGCAGACGAGGAGTGCAGTCAGATGGGGCCATTGGGGTGGGCCCTAGTCCAGTGTGACTGCTGTCTTATAATGTATCTATATTTGAATGGCAGAGTTATAGATTGAGAAGGACAGAGAGAGAGTGAGATTTTCCAACTACTGGTTCACCCCCGAGATGGCTGCAACAGCCAGCACTGAGCCAGGCCGAAGCCGGGAGCCAGGAGTTCCATCTGGGCCTCCCATGGGGGTGACAAGGGTCCAAGTACTTCAGCCATCTTCCATTGCTTTCCCAGGCCATTACAGGAGCTGGATCGGAGGTGGAGCATCTGGGACATGAACCGGCGCCCATATGGGATGCTGGCATTATAGGCGGTAACTTACCTGCTACACCACAACACCAGCCCATGACTAGTGCCCTTCTAAAATGGGGAAATTTGGATACAGAGACAGGCATGCATTGAGGGAAGATGATGGGAGGGGACAAGATCTTCATCTGCTAGCCCAGGAGAGGGGCTGGCAGGACCCTTCCCTCACGGCCTCAGACAGGACCAACCAGGCCGAGATGTCCTGACTTCCAAACGCCCTGAACCGTGGGACAACACATCTCTGTTGTCTACGACTCCGAGACTGTGGATCATGGCCCGGCATCCCTGCTCCTGAGAAACGCTGGGTAGCCTGACTGCCTATAGGGAAACGGAGACCTTGTGAGATTCAAACACTCTAGGGAAAGGCCAAAAGACCTGTGATGGTCTACTAATAAAAAATCCTCTTAACCTGGACTTCTCCATTTTAAAACAGTAAGTTTAGGGACCGAAAATTCACTATGCCTGTAGGATAAAACTAATGAATTTACAAGTCATTTTTCCTTGCTGTATATACTTAAAGGTTTGAGCACTTATTGCTGAAGCAAAAATACTGTGATTTTTCTTAAGCTTTATAGTTATTTTTTAAAAGGGTGCATTTATTTATTTGAAAGGCAGAGCGAGAGCGAGAGAGAGAATCTCTTCCATCCACTGGTTCGCTCTGTACTTTGTCTTTAGTTCACTCTGTTAAACTTAGCTTGAAACTCACACTTCATGGAATTTGCTTAGAAGAATATTAATATGCCTCTTTAAAATAATGCCACGTAACCACACCGAGTTAGATATTGGCTGATACAGTGTATTATGTTTTGACAAGCAATGCTAACTTAACTGAACATATTAGATCACTTAACAATTTTATTACCAAGGCCTTTTAGAGTTTATGATACCACACATACTCAGAGTGGGTGTTCCACACAGCAGTGAAGACACTGCTTGGCACACCTACACCCCCATCGGAGGGACCAGGCTGGAGTCCTGATTCTGCTTCCGATTCCAGCCTCCTGCTAACGCACACCCTGGGAGGCAGCAGGGACGGCTCAGTCCCTGAGCCCCGCCCACCCACATGGGAGACCCAGACTGAGTTCCTGGCTCCCAGCTTTGGCCTGAACCTGCCCCAGCAGTTGCAGGCATCTGAGGATTGAACCACAGGATGGAAGATCTCTCTTTGCCTTTATAATAAACAATTAATTAAAAATTTTAATTATACTGATTTTATTTTCAGCAACAAGCTATTGGAGATTCAAGTATCTGATTTTTCAGTTACAAGAGCAAGTCCTCTCAAGAGCGTGGCAGACACGAAGTCAATGCTTTGAATACAATCTCCATGGCAACATGGGCCAAACACAGCCTGGCGGATGAAATGAAAGCCACAAACGCTCCATTTCAGCCCCCAGCACTGACTGTCCACGGAAAGCCACATCTCTATCTCGGCATTTCACCTCTGCTGTAAACACGGTCGCCTGCCTTTGCTCCACAAAAGGACACTGCCCAAGCCCTTTGTTCTCCATAAGCTCATTTTACGAAGTTAGCACTATCACGTCCGTGTTCTGAAACAACGTACGGTTATTCGTGCTGAGTTTCTAGGTTATAGCAGGGGGGCCAGTTGCAGTAAACAGGAAATGCACACACTGGATACGTCCTCCAAATTTCACATAGTGATCAGTCTTCAGTGCGGAACCCACTTTGTTTCCATAAATGAATGACATAATGAAAAGAAAGCGTATGCTTTAAATGGATATTTAGAAACTGATCCCTACTGATGGAACCCTACCACACGGCTGCATTTACACTTTCCTGTCTCCACTAAGGGTACGTCTTCTACAGAAGGGTGTACAGTAACAGTGCACACGGATTTTAACTGCCGCTTAAGGAACTAAGACTTTCCTCTAATGGCATCTTGCCAATTTCAAGATCATTTGCTAACCACACAACACAATTCAGAAATTAACAAGTTGCTGGCTACAAAGCAGACACTAACAGATAGCAGTTGACTTGGCATGCAGTGCACTCCAGCCCTGTCCTGGGCTCCTCACAATGCCCTCATCAAGCAGCTGTCAGCGTCGGTTTACTGATGACAACACTGAGCTCAGAGATGCTCAGGAGTCTGTCTTAGTCTCCCAGTGCAGGAGCTGGAATCAGAGCCTGTGCACTTGACCACTATGCGCTACTGCTTGTCACTGGGCTGTCTACTTCATTGCTAACTTTATTTATGTAGTAGATACACTTGGAACCAGGCTCAGCCCTCTGACTCTTAATTTAAATGCAATTCCACAAAATTTGGCTATCTGATCACCGAAGATTAGAAGTACCAAACTAGGAAGGTTTGGAGCAGGGCTCCTGCAAGCAGAAAACATTAAAGACACTGAAAATTGAAACAGGAACTGAAAGTATTGCAAAATGGAATTATCCAGAGCAAGCAAAAGCTACACATGGCTGGGGAGGGCCTGGGCAGGGAGATGGAAGTGGCAACACCACTCGGTGTCGTTTCCACGCCAGGCGTTGCCTTCGCCATCTCTGGGGCTCACAATGGCCCCAGCATACAGGCTGTTCAGTCCCCGCTTCAAGGCTCCAAGTGCAGCAGTTGAGAGAGGCTAACAGCCCGCCCACGTCTCACAGCACCAGAGCCAGGCCTATCAGCTGCGCAGGCCACGCTCTGAACACCGCACCACACTGCCTATCTTGCAAGAATTCAGCCAAGATCTTGGAGAGGCTTCTATTAAGACCACTGCAACAGAAAGCCTCTGGGCAGCAAGGAGGGAAGAAGCCTACGTTATCCGGAAAACGCGCTCGCCCCAGAACCCCACGCTTGAGGTACACAGTATTTTTTTTAAACTAAAAGTAATTCAAACTTAGAAAAATACATAAGCTAGGGGCATGGACATGCAGGAATTTTCACATGATATCCTATCTTTAACAGTCTGGTCTTTTTTTTTTTTTTTTTTTAACCACAGTACCAACAGTGGGGTTTTACTTAGTGAATATTCTTAGCAAATTCAAGGCATTCTGCCAAGAAATAGAGTGGCATGAGAATGCCATTTGGAAGGTGATAAATTCAAAACAGAAACACGGCACACATTCATGTGCACACGCACACACACGCACACACACACGTCAGTCATGCCAGTTAAACAGAAGGGCAGGGCTTGTCCCATTACAACTTTTTTCTTGCATCCCTTATTGCCTGAAGGTAATTGTGAACTGGGGAATGGCAGGAAAACATTCCCACAAAGAACGCGCTACTCTAAACAATATATCCAATGTGACTTTTCTGTCTATGACCAAAAATTAATACACGGAAGCCCAGTGTTACCGTGACGCTGAAACCTGCATTTGCTGAATCCCAGGAAGCAGATTACGCTCCCTGAAAGCTGCTGACTTAATGCCTCGCGCGGCCCCCGCTCCCCACAGGCAGCCCCGCCCAGCACCCTGGTGCCCACTTAGCAAGATTACCCCTGGTGCAGCCCGGCCATGGGCGTCTCTCTCAGGGGAAAGAGCTTGGGGTAGACGATGGTGAACATGGGCTCGCTACACCGGTGACAGTGCCCCAGGGGGCAGTGCAGCAGTTCCAGGAGGCTTCTGGGTAATGAGACTGGAGACAGAAAGTTCAAATCTGGAACATAAAGAGAAAATCACACACAGTTAAAAATCAGATTTCCTTAAATGGCTTCTTAAAATATTCCCCTTTGTTTCCAAGTAAGAGCAGTGTCGTGTTCAAAGCTGATGGGCACTGAGTAAACATCGAATATTTGGATGGATTATTTTACATTTTTGATGCTAAAGGAAAACATAGTCCGCTCTTTCAGAGCAGCCCAACCAGCAGCCGTACTACAGAGCAAGCCAGGAAAGAGTGGGGTCAAATATTCTTTAAGAACAAAGATCAGAAAGTCTCCAATTACTCAGAGAGCGTTCTAGAAGCTTTGACAGGAGCCAGAGCATTCAAAAAGGACAGGACTGACTTCCCTGACGTGCTCTCCACGTCTGTTGGGCAATTAGTCCATCAAGCATCAATCAGGCTAAGTCATGTTCATTGAAAAGAATGAGAAGCAAGATATCAAAGAAGATGGAAAACACTGAAACCAAGCTTCTGTCTCCCTCCCAGGGGCCATCAGTACTAAAATCAGGGCTCTTCCTCCCCTGCTTGGTCTGAGCTACCCAGAACAGCCGTCTCAGGCAACACAGCCCGGTGGCCCCGGCAGTCTGGTCTGGAACACAACTTCACACTGGGCTTTATTTATTTATTTATTTATTGACAGGCAGAGTGGACAGTGAGAGAGAGAGACAGAGAGAAAGGTCTTCCTTTGCCGTTGGTTCACCCTCCAATGGCCGCTGCGGCCAACGTGCTGCAGCCGGTGCATTGCACTGATCCGAAGGCAGGAGCCAGGTGCTTCTTCCTGGTCTCCCATGCGGGTGCAGGGCCCAAGCACTTGGGCCATCCTCCACTGCCCTCCCAGGCCACAGCAGAGAGCTGGCCTGGAAGAGGGGCAACCGGGACAGAATCCGGCGCCCCGACCGGGACTAGAACCCGGGGTGCCGGCGCTGCAGGCGGGGATTAGCCTAGGGAGCCGCGGCACCGGCCCACACTGGGTTTCTAAGGATGAGCAACATCCCGCAGAGACAGGAATGCTCACAAGGAGGTGAGTACACAAGTTATCCACTCGCGTTGGAAGGAAATAATTAGCTTCCTGCTTTCTCATGTGTCCCGATTCAGGAAAATGCAGCGTACTCACGGGTGAGCAAACGCGGTTTTCCGTTTACTTTAAGACAACCTAGCTTTGTACGAGGCATTCCTGGAGGGCTGATGTTAGGTACTCTTGTATGGATTTTTTTTCCTTTAGGTAAAGACATTTCACAGCTTTAAAAACACTTGCAATGAGTTTTTCTTTTTACCCTTGCCTAGTTCCTTACAGCCTTTCGGCTCTAAACCCCACAAGCTGACGAAGTGTGCACTGGCAAGTCCCTCCCGAGAGAGCTGGCGGTAGAGAGCAGGCCAGCGGCCCTGAGCGTCTCCTCCCCACGTCTCCCAGATGCCAGGAGGCCGCAAGGCCAAAGCCTGCTCCGCAGGGAGCGCACCTGGCTGTTCTCCCCAAATCCGCTGGCTCCTCCCACCCAACCAAACAGCCGGTCTCAAACACCAGTGCCCCGGGTCAGCCACCTCCTTTGTGCCCAAAGCCTGCATTCTGTGAATCCTCTATGCGGGTGGGGAGTGACGAAGGAATCGGCATTGCCAAACTAGTACAACGTTTTCTCTTCCGCGAAAGGACTCCGAGTGACTCACGGATGGTACAAGGGGGGCCCGCACTGGGGCAGCAGGCCAAGCCTCGGCCCGCGGCGCCGGCCTCCCATGCGGGCGCCAGTGAGTGTCCCGGCCGCTCCGAGTCCGATCCGGCTCTCTGCTCCGGCCACGGAGGGCAGTGGAGGACGGCCGAGTGCTGGCGCCCCGCGCCCACGCGGGACACCCGGAGAAGCTCCTGCTCCGGCCGCTGCGCCCACCCGGGGCGTGAACCGGCGGATGGAGACCTTTCTGTCTCTCTCTAACTCTGCCTCTCAAATAAACAAACAAAATATTTAAAAAAAGGATGCTACAAACGGTAAGTTTTGTTAGCCGCGTTGTCACGCTAACATATTTTACGACGGAAGCCGGACAGGCAGCGCGGGGACGCCGCCGTGTCCGCCCGGTGGCCATCGGCACGCGCCGGCCCCTTGGGCGCGGCTTCAGGCCCAGGGCCGCTCCGGTCACCCGCCCGGTGTGCGGGCATCTGGGAGTGACCAGCGGAGGCGAGCGCCTCCCCCGGTCTCTGGAGTACCACAAGCAGGGACACGGCCTACCTGTCCGCAAGCCGCGGTGCGCGTGGTGCAGGCGTCTCATGGCCAGCTCCTGCAGCGGCAGCACGCGGTCACTCTCCGTCCCGATGGCCTTCACCTCGGCCGGCAGGGACACGGTCAGCTGCCCGGAGGAAAAGGAAAGCAGCTTCACCTCGGGGACGTGGAGGGGGGCGCCGCAGCTGGGGACGACACACACCACAGTGGCATGAGCGACGCGGCCCAGACGCGGGGCAGCGCGCTTCCGGCCGCCCCGCGGGCACCGCGACATCCGGGTCCCTCAGGCCCCCGGCCCGGAAGCCGCCCTGCCCCGGACGGAAGTCACTCCCTCAACCTGGGGGCCAGCCGCAGCCAAGGCCGGCCGAGGGGCTGCGTGCACCCAACTTCTGTTTTTGCAGACTGTGCAACCCTGTCCAAATCTCTGTTGTTCGAAACGTCCAAAATTAAAGGGCAGACAAGTGCTCTGTTCAGTTATGTGCCTTGGTGTCACAGAATTAAACCCGCACAAGATGGGGCGTGGGCCCACTAGTCTGCCTCGTGCCCAAGCAGCAGGGTGCGGGGAGCGATAGCCACTCTGCACGGGATAATCAGAGAGGCTCCTGTGCCCACGCCTTGAAGGGAGGCGGAGACTTGGGGTCGGGGCCCCAGGGACGACCAGCGGGTGCCAGGAGCTGAGAGTCTGGGGGACACAGCCTCGGGGGAGCGGGTGCCCGCAGCGAGAGCCCCAGAGACCTGCGGAGGGGCCTCCTGGGCGCTCGGCTGAGGACTGGTCAGCAGGGTGAGGCCGCTGCGTGAGACCCGCACGGGGCCACCAGAAGGAACGGCGGGGCGCCCTGCCCACCGCCTGCACGGGGCTGCGGGGAGTGAGAGCCTGTTCACCCGCTCAGACCTGGAGGCGGGGCTCAGGGGTCCTGGTAGAGTGACTGACAGAGGGGTCTGAGCCCAGCAGAGGGGAGGAGCACCATGGAAAGCCAGACCAGAGAGGCCCAGCTGTTCAAGTGTCTTCACCGTGCCCCAGAAGATGGATCAAGGATAGTTACAGAACACGAAGTATCCAGCACTCAACATGGTGGGTCATACTGTCTAGCAACCAAAAAAAAGTACCTGGTTTGCGACTAAGTAGAAAACTACGACCTACAGTGAGGAGAAAAACCATACGATCCATCAAGACCGGATGATGTTAGCACTGATGCAAAGGTCACGATAATAATCTCTGTAATTATTACCGCATAGATGAAAGACATGTTTTGGTTTTTACCTAAAGAAACTAGAAATAAAAGAGCAAATTAAGCCCTAACTAAATAGAACAGAGAGCCTCAAGAAGTCAGTGAGGTAGAAAACAAGAAAACAGAAAAATCAATAAAAACAAAAGCTGAATCTTTAAGCAGATCAATAAAATTGATAACCTCTAGCCAGACTAGTCAGAGAGAAGGCACAGATGACCGTTATCAGGAATGAGAAAGGTGACATCACCCAGATTCTGGGGTAATAAAAAGGTAAAATGGAACTTTATGCCAATACAAAGTCCTTGAAAGGGACAAATTACTAAAGCTTACTCAAGAATCATGTATGCTGAACAGCCCTATCTCTACTGAAGAAGTTGAATTTGTAGCTGAAAATCTTTCCACAAAGAAAACTTCAGACTTAAGATGGTGGCAGTGGTATATCCTATCAAACATTTAAAGAAGAAATGTTGCATACAAACTCTTAAAAGAAATTGCAAATGTTGGCATAGTTCCCAGCTCTTTCTCAACTCATTCCATGGCTCCAGCATTATCCTGATACCAGAAAACAAGCCAGAAAACAAATAGCAAAAAATGAGAGAAATCACTGATGAACTGGCAAAATTATAAACAAAATTTTAGCAAACTGAATTCAACAATGTATAAAGTCACTCTAAACAAATAAAGTTTACTTTATTAATGCAAGATTGCATTAATATTAGAAAACCAGGGGCCAGCGACATGGCTCACTTGGCTAATTCTCTGGCTGCGGCGCCGGCATCCCATATGGGCGCCGGTTCTAGTCCCGGCTGCTCCTCTTCCAGTCCAGCTCTCTGCTGTGGCCTGGGAAAGCAGTGGAGGATGGCCCAGATGATTGGGCGCCTGCACCCGTGTTGGAGACCAGGAGGAAGCACCTGGCTCCTGGCTTTGGATCGGCACTGTGCTGGCTGTAGCGGCCATTTGGGGGGTGAACCAACAGAAGGAAGACCTTTCTCTATGTTTCTCTCTTTCACTGTCTAACTCTACTTGTCAAATAAGTTAAAAAAAAAAAAAAGAAAAAGGAAAAGGAAAACCAATGTCATTAGAAAACCAATGTCATTTTTAAGTCATTAACGACTTTAAAAAAACTATATAATTATTTTATTAGGTGTAGAAAAAGCTTCTAACACAGTTAACATCCATTCCTAATTTTTAAAGTCTCAGCAAACCAGTAGTAATATCCTCATCTGATCACAGAAACCTATGAAAAATTATCAGTTAAAATTATACTTAATGCTGGAAGGTTGACTTCTCTCTCTCTGAAAGTTCAGCAGTATGACAAACACATTGGTTTTCACCACTTATACTTAACACTCTACTGGAGCTTTTACCCAGCTCATTGCAATAAAGCAAGAAAAAGAAATAAAAAGGTAACTAGATTTGGAAGAAAGAAATAAAATTGTCTTTATCTACAAGATATGATTCTGTATGTAGGAAATTCAATGCAATCTACAAAACTATAATATACTGCTAAGAAATGAAGATATTCACTGTGATAATGGGATAGAAGACACACTTCTCCCCAAATTGATCTATAAATTATACATATTCAAAAACTTTTAAAAATATATATTGAAAACCTGATTGTAAAAGTCATACAGAAATGTGAAAAACTAAAATAGCCAAAACAATTTGGAAGAAGAATTTGGAAGAGTAACGTCACTGTATTACGATGGAAGCTTAATAACAGACAGAGTGGTACAGGTGTCAAAACAAATAGATCCATGGTGCAGACAGAGGATCCAGAAACAGACTCACACATAGATGGACAAGCTCTTGGCATCAGTAGAAATACAATATAGTACAGAAAGTGCAGTATTTTCAAAAATGGGTATTGGACCAACTGTATATCCACAGGCAAAGAAAGGAACTCCAGTCACACCTTGTACCATACAGATGAACTCAAAATGGATCACGGACTTAAGTAAACTAAACCCACACAACTTCTAGATTAAAACATAGGAAAAAAAATCTTTGTGACCTTGGGTTACATTAAAAGTATGATCCATAAAGGAGCAAACTGATAAACTAGACTTCATCAAAATATAAAATATCTGCTCTTTGAAAGGCCTTCTTGGGCTGGCGCTGCGGCTCACTTGGCTAATCCTCTGGCTGCGGTGCCAACACCCCAGGTTCTAGTCCCGGTTGGGGCACCTGATTCTGTCCCGGTTGCTCCTCTTCCAGTCCGGCTCTCTGCTGTGGCCCAGGAAGGCAGTGGAGGATCGCCCAAGTGCTTGGGCCCTGCACCCGCATGGGAGACCAGGAGGAAGCACCTGGCTCCTGGCTTCGGATCAACACAGAGACGGCCGTAGCGGCCATTTGTGGTTGAACCAACTGAAGGAAGACCTTTGTCTCTCTCTCACTGTCTAACTCTGCCTGTCAGGGAAAAAAAAAAAAAAAAAAAGAAGAATGAAAGGCCTTCTTAAGGAAATGAAGAGATAAGCTAGGAGAAAATATTTGTAAAGCACTTATATGATAAAGAACTTGTACCTAGAATCTATAACTCAACAGTAAGAACACAGATGACACAATGAAACATCAGTAGATGATTTAAGCAGACATATGCCAAAGCAGAACTTTAGAGGGCAGAAAAGATATGCATCCTTGGTCACTAGAGAAATGCAATCTAAAACCATAATGAAATGCAAATGACACCAATGAGAATGGGTAGAATAAAAAACTAATTATTCCAAGTGCTGGGAAAAACATGGGAGAACTAAAAATTTCATCTTGCCAGTGGGAATGTAAAGTTATACAATTAATTTCAAGAAGTCTGGCAGTTCCTTAAAAAGATATTGTATGACCCAGCTACCTCTTATTGTAGTATTTCATCCAAGGAAATGAAAGTCTAGGTCCATTAAAATCTGTGTACAAACGTGCAGAGCAGGTATATCTACAATGAAGTAAAAAACTGGAACCAACACAAATGTCCATGAACTGAATGGAGACAACCTGTGGTATATCCATGTAATGAAATATTACTTTTCAATAAAAAGAAATGAATGACTGATAGACATGACAGCCCAGATATGTACACCAGTCATCTTCTGAGCAAATAAAGCCAAACCAAGAAAAGAGTGTATATTATTTGATTCATTCGTATAAAACTCTAGAAAATGGAGATTAATCTGCAGGGACAGACACAGATGAGTGGCTGGCAGCAGGCGGGAGGAGGGATAAGAGGGGACGATTTCTGAGGGGCACAGAAACTGGGGGTGATAAATATTTGCTATCTTAGCTGTAGCAATGACTGCACAGGTGTATTCATAGGTCATAACCTATCAGTTTCTAAACTTCAAGTATGTGCAATTATTATGTCAACTACATATCAATATAGCCACTGTTGAAAAATAAAAAAAACAAAGCAAAAAAATCAAAAGAGCAGGCTATTAATAGACATAAAAGATGAAATTGATAAAAGGAAACAGAGTAGAAGGGGTAAGTAAAGGGGCTGGTGTGGCGTAGTGGGTGAAGTGCCACCTGCAATGCTGGTATCCCATATGGGCATTGGTTCAACTCCTCACTATTCTGCTTCTGATCCAGCTCCCTGCTAATGCACCTGAGAAAGCAGCAGAAGATGGCCCAAGTGTTTGGACCCCTGCCACCCATGTGGGAGACCTGGAAAAAGCTCCTAGCTACTGGCTTCAGCCTGGCCCAGTCCTGGCCATCTGGGGAGTGAACCAGTGGATGGAAGATCTCTCTCTCTCTCTCTCTCTCTCTAACTCTTTCAAATAAGTAAATAGATGTTTTTTTTTTTTTTTTTTTAAAGGAAATGGTAAGTAAGGCCGGCGCCGCGGCTCACTAGGCTAATCCTCCGCCTAGCGGCGCCGGCACACCGGGTTCTAGTCCCGGTAGGGGCTCCGGATTCTGTCCCGGTTGCCCCTCTTCCAGGCCAGCCCTCTGCTGTGGCCAGGGAGTGC